TGAGCTTTGCACTGAAGATCACTTTCGAACACTTCTAAAGAACTGAGTTTCAAACCCATCTGTCGCTCTAAAAACTTTAGCATTTTTTAGTACGAGTCAAGCAACATATTGGTAGAAGCCGAAAGATCTTGATATGTAATCTAACGACTTCTGTCTATGTTAATTCAGTGATCACGAGCCGATGAACTGTACATGAAGAAACACCTATTCATAAACACATAGCTTGAAGAAGAACATGAAGAAAGACGTGTTTTCCAATTTGTTTTAAGATTTTTACCTCGCGCTAGCTAGCACTCATGCGTAAACTCCATCCATTTTCATGACTGATAAATATTGAAACTGTCTTTTCAAGCAACAATTTAGATTTCTTTGGTACCTTACTTAACTTAAATAATTTTCCTCGTCAGAGATTAATGCATCTTTTAATAATTTATTGCCCGGAATGAGTGTGTATTTGCTGACCCATTTATCTTTGTATTTCTAGAGGGATTTATTATAACATTGTATAACTATTTCTTCTGCATGTGTTCCTGTCTCAAATCTCAGTAGCAAAAACTATCGAAAAATAACATCCATTTATTGAAAACTTTTGCCACACCATGCAGTCNTTTTTTTTTTTTTTTTTTTTTTTTGCTGCAGTGCCGGTATTATTACGCGTAGTCCTCAAATTCATTTCTTGACAACTTGTTTCTGTTTTGTTTTTAGCTTCCTTCGAGAGCATTCGAGAAACTTGTAATGCTTAGCAGACAGAAAATAATGTCCATTGTTTAGTTGAATCGGGCTCTGTAGCCAATACTTGCGTGCCTATGTTCAATCTACATGTATTTCCACGCCTCATTCTAATCAATGTTACTTTTCAACAGATCAAGTGAGCGAGAAACTTCACACACAAAATGGAATCGCTGAAGGAATTGCTGAAGCCTAAAACCTTCAACAGGATCAGTTACGTAGCAATTATTTGTTGGATCCTATTTGGAGTAATCCTGCTCGGCATCTTTGCAGAAATGGAGAACAGTGAGTCCAGGTTTGATTTCCGCTGTGCTGCGAAAAGTGAAAAGATAGACCTCGTTCGAGGACAGTGTTTTGAACAGTACGAGAAACAATACAACAAATCTGGTGTTCCTGTTTACGCCTTTGTGATTTTGAATTTTTCTCTCATTGGAATTGTTGGAGTGATTTACTCTCAAGGCGTTAAGTCAAGAGTGGATCAGCTGCTGGCAGCTAATCGCGAAAGAGATGCCGAAAGACAGAACAACGACAACCCAACTGAGCGAAAACGCAGGTTGTTTGTGGCGTATCTTTGTCAACTTGCCAACAGATTTGCAATGGGAATTGTTTTTATAGTCCTACAGACTCAAGTTCTTTATCCTGCCAATTTCCCCTCCGACTTTCTTTGCCAAATAGCAGGAGGCAGTCACGCGGCGAATGGGTCATCAACCAGCAACATTCAGAACAGCACCATGTACGAGTGTCACAATCAACGAGCAACGAGGAAAACCTTCTGGATTCATGCTGTCACTTTCGTAAATGGAGCTCTTGCGCTTAGTATACTGATTGAGATCATCTGCATCTTGTCACGAGCAAGAAAGGGAAAGAAATTCCTGGAAGATTCGCAGTTTCTGGCAGATCATCTCCCCCCTCGAGAAGAACAAGACTCTCGAGAATCTGTAGATCAGGAACTACAACAACAGGAAGATTCTCGAGAATCTGAAGATCAGGAACTACAACAAGAAGACTCTCAAACATCTGAAGATGAGGAGCCACAGCAATTACCGTCAAAAATATCCACATTGATGGACAGCCTGAAGGAAAGTATCAGACACTTCACGGAGAGACCTACAGATCTTGAGGCCCTGTTTAAAAAAGATCACGGTGATCCAACACGTAATGAAGATCTGAAGATTGATAGTATTTATACTAATTTGGTTCTCATTACAAACACGGCACAATATGATTTCTCCGGCGACAGAGAGCGACAGCTTAACGTCTACCCAAGACCAAAAGGAAATTCTCTACCGAAAACACGAGGAGATGTTGTTGATGTCAAAAACGAAAAAGTCCTCATTGTTGGCCGTCCCGGCATCGGCAAAACATTGTTCTGTACAAAATTTTTACGTGAATGGGCATCTAACCAGCGCCTGTTCAATGCTAAACTGCACTTTGACTTTGCTCTCCTCCTGAAATTCAGGAAATTTAACTCCGTAGAACAACTCAGCCTTCGTGAACTGCTTTCAGCAGCAGAATTGTCACCGCCAGAATATCTCAATGATGAAGTTTTGAGTTACATTCTTGAAAATCCCGGCAAACTACTTATCCTGTTTGACGGCTTGGACGAGTCTGCATATATTTCAAGTTTCCGCGATAACCAGCCCGTTAGCATGAGTGAGGAACAACGAATGCCTCTCTCTGCCCTCCTTTACAACATAGTGAAAGGACATCTTCTCCGCGGAGCCACTGTTTTAACAACTACAAGACCCACTGCCGTTTCAGACGTAAAACATTTTCCTTTCCGCAGAACATTTGAAATTCTTGGCTTCGCATCCGAACAAGTTGAAGAATACGTTAACAACTTTACGAAAAATGCAGCGGAGAATGACACAGGAAAAAAAATATGGCAGCACATCAGCACTAATATGAACATTTTCACGTTATGCTATATCCCTGTCAACCTCTTCATTGTTTGTTCATGCTTGCTGGAAGTTCTAAATTACAAAACTCTTTCAACTGGTCTTCCAGAAAAGCTGACACGCATTTACCAGATAGCAACAAAACTATTTTTCTTCAGACACAATGAGCCGTATCGTGACAAACGCCTCCATCGGGAAGACATTGAATCAAAAGATTGGCCTCCTGAATTCAAGCCACTGTCGAAAATTGCTTTCGATGGCATAAGAGAGAGAAAACTTGTCTTTGGTGCAAACGAAGTCAGCAAGGATGTAGTTCAAAGTGCGCTCTTTCATCGCCTACCAGATCTTCAGACTGACTCATTCAAATACGAAGCTCAATTCTGTTTCCTTCATTTAA